TGTCCGGTACCAGTCCAATAAGAACGGTCCGGTACCGTTTCAATATGAATGGTTCGGTACTGGACCAATAAACAAGGGTCTGGTACTGGTCCAATTAGAACTGTCTGGTACTGGTTCAGCAAAAGTTTTTGCCACGTAAATATTTACGGTACGTTTTTTCACTCCTTTCACTTTTCAAGTACCGTTGGATGATTGGATAGACAGTACCGATAGTAACTGTAATATAGTAACTTTTTATTTCAATTAAAGTTGAAATAAAAAATGAATCTCGCATCAAGTCTTAAGTTATCGCAAAAAGTCACTGGTCAGACCATGACAGTACATCCTCCACTACAGTAGGTGGCGGTATACGCCTAAAAAAAAAAGGAGTCCTGTCCCTTTATTAGACCCAGATGTCAGGTCCCTACGTAGGCTAGGAGACGTTCAGGTGTTGGAACAGAACGTGGGAAGAACGTGTTCCGCGGACCCCGACAGAGTTCTCCAGAGTTCTTGGACCTGGAACAACTAAGATGTCAGGAAATTCACGAACTCTTATCAACGTCCATGGTTGTAGTTTATCTTATTAAAATAAACTTGTCTTCTCCCCCCCACGCCTCACCCCCCTCTCCCTCCCCCAGCCCCGGGCCGCCTACTGTAAGGACGTCCTGGACATAGAACAGTTCTCCACGGTGAAGGGAGTCAATCTGGACCAAACCGACAACGACTTCTACTCCAAGTTCGCCACAGGCAGCGTTTCCATCCCGTGGCAGAATGAGGTAGGTCTGAGGCACCGCCAGGCATGGGGAACTGTCTGGTACTGGTCTAGTAAGAATGGTCCGGTACCGGTACAATAAGAAAGGTCTGGTACTGGTCTAGTAAGAACTGTCTGGTACCAGTCCAATTAGAATGGTCTGGTACCGGTCCAGTAGAAATTGTCCGGTACCGGTCCAGTAAGAATGATCTAGTACCGGTCCAATAAGAAGGGTCTGGTACCGGTCCAGTAAGAACTGTCCGGTAAAGGTCCAGTTAGAATGGTCCGGTACCGATCTAATAAGAAGTATTGGTACTGGTCTAATAACAAGGGTCTGGTATCGGCCCAATAAGAACTGTCTGGTACCGGTCTAGTAAGAACTGTCTGGTACCGGTCCAATTAGTAGGGACCGGTACCGGTCCAGTAAGAACTGCCTGGTACTGTTCCAATAAGAACGATCCGGTACCAGTCCAATAAGAATGGTCTGATACCGATCTAATAAACGTGTACCACTGGTGGTACCTGGGCTCCATCTTGTGGCATCAGGCGAAATCTAATATTCTCTAACTGTCCCCCCCTCTTCCTTACCTCTCTCTCCTTTTCCTCTAGGGGGTTGCACCCCTTATTTTGGAACCACTGTTTGTTTTTTTTAATAATAATAATTTTAATCTACATAAAGAGCATTTCAAAATTTTGATTTTCTATTTTTGTTTTTTTCGCTCCTCGCCCATGTGACAGTGGCGTAAACCAATCACGGAGCTTCCACAACAACCTGCTGCTGCGGTGTTTTCACAACCTTCAATCGCTCCCGCTCAGGGAAACCAAACTATCTCGGAGCAATATTGTCTCAGCGTGTTGATGCTCTTCCTCACCCCTCTCTCCTCTTCCTCCCCCCTCTTCTTCACCCCTCTCTCCTCTTCTTCACCCTTCCTCCCCCCTCTTCCTCTCTCCTCTTCCTCTCCCCTCTTCCTCTCTCCTTTTCTCCCCTCCTCTCCCCCCGCCCCCCCACAGATGATAGAGACTGAATGTTTCAGAGACCTGAATGTCTTCGGGCCTCAGGGGACCAGACCCCCAGACCTGGACTGGGACCAGCCTCCGGAGCCGCCGCGACGCAGCCTATTGGACAGGATCTTCAGGAGGCATGTGAGTAAAAACGCACACAAAAAAATTACCCATAAGTCATTGGGGTAACCCTTTCTCTGTCTGTCTGTCCCGTTGTCTCCACCGCAGCACCCGGACGTGTCCATCTCCCACAGCCGTGTGCAGTCTTCCAGCGTGAACTCAGTGGACTCCATGTCCAACTCCGCCCCCTAGTGGCACAGGGACGGTGTGGGGAGCCACACCGACACACAAACGAAGGGAAGGAGCGTCGAACGGGGCTTCCTGGCTGCCAATTGGTCCAAACCAGCAGCCCGTCTAAAAGCCTCACTGGTCAGCCCGAGGGGGAGGGGAGAGGAGGGGTGACCCTGACCTTTGACCCCACGGGTCATTAAGAAATGGGACGTTCAACGTCGCGAAGATATTTATTTGAACAAATCGGAGTTTCCCTCAGGACTGTTGGACTACCGAGAAGAGCCACTGTTGTTGACGAACGTGAAAAAAAAACAAAAAACAAGCTAATATTCAGGGGATCCACTGTATAATAAAGACCACCAGGGGGAGTAGAGGACGGGGTCTTAGTGAATTTTTCTTTGTCTCACTCATTTTTTTTCAGGTCCTGTCTTTTCTGGTCCTGTGTCTTGTTACCGGTCTGTGTGTGTGTGTGTGTGTCAAACTTCGGAACACTCTGGAAACACAGTCAAGCTAGCCTAGCCTGTACGTCTCTTTGTGTTTCACTCAGGATCAAAGACGACACTTTTTGGGGTTTTTTCGTGACGTGGAATTTACCGACGCTTGTCATTTTTTTAGCCGTCATTTGGAACCCGCGGACGGATCCGAAACCCATGATCCGACATCCGATACTACGATAGAACGTGTCATACATAGAAGTAGTCTTTCCTCGCGTTTTGGACTCGGACTTTCAATGCCGGTCCGTACGGGAAAATGTAGGAATCTTCTCACTTTACAGACACCCAGTGGTCAACGCAATCGGGGCTCGTAATTGGTAGAGAGTTGCTAGTGCTAATCCTTAAATGTCAGGCATGACGAGAGACAAAATACTTTTCAAAATACTTGTGGTGAAGGGGCAAAAAAAAAACGGTCCAGGTGTTGACCTCACCCTTGCCAGCAGGCTGAGAATAATGAAGCCGAAGGAATGAAGTGAGGAGTTCCTTATTTTTCCATCTCGTCCAAATGTCTGTGGCGCCCCCTATCTCTCGCATACATAATCAGATGAACACGCCTTTGCGGACCTCATGTTGGCATTGTACACGCACGCACACACTTCTCGCTCCGTTTACATCGTCACTTTGTATCGGGCGTTTTTTGTGGCTTTTTAAAAAATCTGATTCCTCTGCTGTACAGAAATTAAACATTTTTATTTCTTATTTGCTCACTTTTCCGCACAGCCGCCCTCTAGTGGAGTGGGGAGGGAGCACATGCACTCAGCCTGACTTGCCGTTTTTGCACAATTCGAAATCATGTCATGCTGTGTTTTTTTTGTCACCAAATGTTAAAAAAAAGAAGAAATGTCACCCCCGCTGGCGAAGACACAGCACTGCATCGTTTTCTTACAGTTTTTATTTTTATTCGTCGATCTTTTTGCCGATCCTTTTCATCTGTATTTGGACAGGACTTCAGAAAGTATTGGAACGGCAAGGGCAATTCCTTTGTTTTTGTTGTATACTGAAGACATTTGGGTTTCAGATCAAAAGATGAATATGAGACAAAAGTTCAGAATTCCAGCTTTTATTTCATGGTATTGACATCCAGGTGTGTTAAACAACTCAGGACTGAGCCCCTTTTCTTTGAACCCACCCACATTTCAAGTGAGCAAAAGTATTGGAACAGA